CGGTATCTTGTGATCTGACCTGTGGAGTGCTAACCACTGCACTATAGACCCACAGGTCACTTTCCCCTTTCTTTTTTTCTCCTTATTTCAAACTTTTTATATCTTTTTATTCCCCCTCCTCTATTCTTTTTCCTCTCTTCTATATACTCTTTTATTCACTTTACTCCTTCCCTTCTTTTTTCTTCTTCCCTGCCAAAGTTAGGTTTTCCCTTCTTCCTGAAGATTTTCTTTCTAGACCTCTCTTTCCTTTATAAACTTTACTCTCCATAACATTACTCCTTTGGCTAGTCGGTCCTCTTTTCTCAAGACCATATTCAAAAGTGGTTTTTTTCTCTCAAGATGTGGACTTCAGAATTTTTCTCTCTTTCATGGCCTTACAGAAAAAGGACAGATGGTTTACCTCCTTCAAAAGATCGATATAGTCATCATTACCAAATCTGGTATTGTTTACTTGTTGATGATTAGACTAGATACATCTAAGAAACTGGTGTACAACTATTATTATCTAAAAGTATCCAAGGAGTTGCATCCACAGTATCCAGAGCATAATGGCAGCCAATGCCAATGCAACTAACAATAAGCTAGGTTAGTATGCAGGTGTTATGCTGGTGATTAGAAAAGTCAGTAGGATAATACATGAAGACCAGGGATTCTAATTACCTTTGCAACATGAACTGGTAATGACAATAAAAGTTTCTCACTTACTCCTTTAACAATATAGGCTCATTGTACAAGATTAGATATCAATACCTTTAAGAAAATCTAACTCTACTATATGTCAAACACCTTTTTTAACAAACCATCTCTTTATGTCCAACCTATTCTTTACACTCTCTGGTTCCATCTTATTTTAAAATCAAGATATACCCTCCAAAGCTACTCTGACAGCAAGATTAATTGCCACCTCTCAGCCTACAGTCCTAGTGATGGGTTTCAAAATAGGAGATCTATACTAGGTAAAAATGGTGAAAGATTAATGTTATCAAAGAGTTGCATTGGTATTAAAGACAATTGTCACCCTCCAACCTTTAGTTCTAGCGATAGGTTCAAATGGAGGGTCAATGCTAAGTGCAAATAGTGAAAGATCTGCTTTATTTTGGTGTATTTGGTGTTAATATAGCTTGGAACCAACTTTTACCCTATTTGTTGTACATCAAGCCACAGTTGGAAAACAAGTGTACCAATCCTAACTATGACTTGGAGGCCAACCTGTATATAGTGGCTGCAGAGACTTTATATAGTTAAATAACCAAATTCTCTAGGTAGCTAGATGCCAGTCAAGGCATAATATAGGTTTTGGATTTCTCTTTTCTATATTTTTAAGTGGTGCTAAGAAGCTCAGGCGAATAGGTCACAATTGTAAGCCTTGCATTAAACTCTTTCTAGCAAAGAGAGATGTATACTACACTATAAAGTTTATAAATCTTGTACTTGAAAGTCTACAATTTATAATAAAAATAGTATGTAGGGACTGCCTGTTTCTTCAAAAAAAAACTCTTTTTGCGATTCCTTTGTCAATCCAAAAAACAGATATTTTTGAAATTTTTTTTTTATTTTTCAATAATAAAATCTAAATATTCTCTTTAACAATATATATTTTTGAAGGCAAAAGTCTCTCTTATTTGTTTATCTTTTTTTTTTCAAAACTTTTTGGATATTTCAATAATAGAATATTAAAAAACTTATCTATTTGATCTATGGTAAAAATACCTTACTGGAAAAAAAAAACCTATCAAAAAATATCATCCTCTATTCTCTTTTAAAATCTGAAATTTTAAAAAAGTCTACTAGTAAATATATTTCTCAAGCTCTATAAGAATCTTGGGTTCATTATAAGTAAACACCTTTGCTAAAGACAGGTGGATATGTTAGTATTCTGGTCTATAAAGGCGGATATATGATTCTCTTTACCAATCAAATATTTGCAGTAGTCTTTTCAAGTATGTTAACAAATTTTCAGAAATTTTTGAAGAATTTTGCCTATCTCAGTTTGATCTTGAATTTTTTGTTACATCAGAATCTCCAATTGATAATTGATTAAGATTTTGAATTGACTGATTAAAATGTAGTAAAAAAGTAAACAAGATACATATTTTTTATATAATTTTTGTTATATAACACAACAATAATAATGTAATTAAAGAAAGCAAAAGAGCAAGATGTTGTGATATTTTCTTAAATAGAAGTGGTTTAATGTTTTTCTTCTTCTTTCTTGGACTGGTTTCTTTTTCTTTAAGATTAAAAAAAGTCTTATTCTAATTCAGTAAGAAGCTTTTTCTATTTATGATTATTTTAAAAAGGCATCAAGCATTTAAGATTATAAGACTTTATAAACAATAATTTCTACTGTAAATATTGCTATAAGTACTTTGAACATTCTTGGTTAGTAATGAAATAATAAAAATTAAATAATTTGTCCAGCTGTAGATGGTGGTAAAGGATTTATCCCAATGAACTGAAATTGATATTGATAAGTTTTTATTTATCAAAACAAACTTTTCAAATATTCTTTTTTTTTTCTTTTTTTTTTTTAAAAAATAAAAAATTTTTATCACCATAAAACTACAGCAATAATATAGGAGTGGCAGTCTTGAATAAGGACTGGTTGTAATATTTTAAATTGATGGAAGTGCCAAAATAAAATTAAGCAATATTTTGTATTTCCCATTATTATATTTAGAGACTTTAAGTTTATTACAGGTGTGCTGCATAGCAATACAATAGTTTAGCATTATTATAGTATTTTTAATACAAATGTATAATTATTTTCTTACAAATAGAATTAATAAACTAATAGGCTTGCAGTCTGATTTGAAGTAAAAAATAAATAAATAAATATCTGTTAAGCAAGGTCCAGCTAATATTTAATAATAATAATAATAATTACTATTTATAGTTATACTGATTTTTTTATAGATTAATCTAATTACTTTAATTAATCAGTTTACATCAAATAAATAGATTTATCTTATACAAAAAGAAAAAAAATTTTATCACTAGTTTAAATATATCTATTCTATTGTTTCAATTATATTTTTTGATTATTTATTAAGAAAAGATTATATAAAATATTATTATAGAAACTAACATTATTTATTTCAGTCATTTATTGTTATCAATATTAAAAAAATTTTTAAAGAGTTATTTATCAATAGTCAATTTATAATTGTTAATAATCAATTATAATTAATCAATATATATTGATAATAATGCTTTCTATCAATTAATATCAAAAATAAAAAATTGTTTATAATCGATTTATATATATATATATATTTAGTAGGTAAACATCATTTCTTTATTTAATTTGTATATTAAAGGTATATATTGTGAAAGAAACAACATCTTTTATTTGTAAATACAGTGAGTTTAATGCTAGCTTGCTTACAGAAACCATATGACTAATATTAAAAATAATATAATCGATTTATATTAATATTAATATAAATCATATTTTATTAGATAAATAGATTTTAATTTATAACAATAAATACTAATTAATTTTAATATTATTTAATATTATTTAATTCTGTAGATTAAAATTTAAATATATAAATATTTACTAAATATTCATTTGTTTTATTAAATCTTGGAACTATATACAGAGAACCCTCCTTAAATACACACTCCTTGGGACTAACCATAAGTATGCATTTAAAGAGGTACAAAAAAAATTATATTTTATTATATTTTATATATGTATATCAATATATACAAATATTATTCCTAATTAAAATACTCATTTACATGAGTCTGTTGCATTAAACTAATTTTTTTTTCTAACAAATTTTTCAAAACTATTTACTAATCTTAATTCTTTTTCTGCCTCTTCTTGTTGAAGTAAAAATGTACGAATATTTTCTAAATTTTTTAATGAAGTACTAGCACTAATAACAGTTGTTTCAATGCTATTATTCATTTTATCCAAATTTTCATTTTTTTCCTCTCTAAATACATTTGCAAGTTCTATAATAACTTTATTATTGTTAGAAATCTCATGGTAATATTTTCATCAGGAATGGTTAAAAATTCATCGATTTTTATTGCTTGAGAAAGAGGAAAGTGTCAATTATCTCGGTAAGTTCATTAAGCTCATTATCATTATTGTCATTATTGTCGTTGTTATTATCATCATAATTATTAACATCGTCATTATTTTCATTAATGGAAAAAATCTTTGTATGGCGTAGGGCTCCAAAAAAGTACTGAACTGATATCAAACTGGTATCGAAATGGTATCAATCTATAGTAAATTTAATATATGGGTTGTGACCTACTCATATGTTTTTATAGTAAATTTAAGTATCAAACTGGTATCGAAGTAGTATCAAAGTGGTATCGTTAGGAGCCCTAGTATGGTGCCAGCAATTATAAATTGTTTTGATGGTAATTCCATTCCAACTTTCAATAATAAATTGAATTACTTGAAGTACACTCATCTTTAAGTCTTATATAAACTGTCCTGTTTCGACTTGCTTCAATATTTATCTAATTGAATAGATAAAAAGTGAAGGAAGCAAACAGCAGAAAAAGCAAATGGCAAGAGAAATAAACAGTAAGGAAAGCGAATAGTGAAAAAGGAAGACAAACAGCAAGAGAATAGTAAGGAAGACGAACAAAAAAAAAAGAAAACGAATGAACAATAGCAAGAGAATAGTAAAGAAGATGAACAAAGAAAAAAGAAAATGAATGAACAATGGAGAGGCAAATGGCAAGGAAGGTAAATGGCAAGAAAATGGTAAGGGAGACCAACAAAGAAAGAAGAATAGAATATACAAAGAAAGGAAAAGAAAGCAAAGAAGACAAATGAATAGCAAGGAAAGCGAATAGTAAAGAAGAAAGGAAAACAGCAAGAAAATAATAAAGAAGGTTAACAAGGAAAGAAAAAATAAGGAAAACAAAATGAACGACAAGGAAAAAAGAAGCAAGAAAGACAAAACAAATAACAAGGAAAGCGAATAGTAATAGAATAATAAGGAGGTGAACAAAACAAAAATAAAATGAACAGAAGAGAAGTGAACGAGCAACAGAAAAATAAATGGCAAGGAAGAATGAAAAACTGCAAGAGAATGGTAAGAAAGACCAACAAGAAAAGAAGAAGCAAGGAAGACAAAATGAATGACAAAGAAAAACGAATAGTGAAAAAGAAAAGAGAATAATAAGAGAATAATAAGGAAATAAATAAAGAAAAAAGAAAACAAACAGCAAGGAAGATGAACAAAGAAATAAAGTGAATGAACAACAGAAGAAGCAAATGACAAGAAAGGAAGAAAAACTGCAAAATAATAGTGAAGAAGGCCAACAAGAAAAGAAGAAGCAAAAAGACAAGACAAACGGCAAGAAAAGCATATGGTAAGGGAGGAAGGTTAATAAGGAAAGGAGAATAAAATAAACGAATAATAGAAAAAGAAACAAGGAAAACAAAATGAATGACAAGAAAAGCGAATAGTGAAGAAGGAAGGCAAATGGTAAGAGAATAAGGAGAAGGTGAACAAAAAAAATAGAAAACAAATGGCAAGGGAGGCAAATAATAAGAAAAAGAAGCGAACAAAGAAATAAGAAAGAGAATAAACAACAGGAAAAGCAAATGACAAGGAAGAAAAAAAAACAGCAAGAGAATGGTGAAAGAAGCTAACAAGGAAAAAAGCAAGAAAGACAAGACAAACAAGAAAACCAAATAGTGAAAAAGGAAGGCGAATAGTAAAAGAATAATGAGGAGGCAAACAAAAAAAAAAGAAAATGAATGGTAAGAGAGATAAATAGTAAGGAAAAGAAGTGAACAAACAACAGGAGAAGCGAATGGCAAGAAAGAAAGAAAATAGCAAAAGAATGGTGAGGGAGGTCAACAAAAAAAGAAAAAGTAAAAAAAACAAGATAAACAGCAAAAAAAGCAAATAATAAGAAAGGTCAACAAGAAAAGAAGAATAGAACAAATAAATAATGAAAGAAGAAGCAAGATAAGACAAACAACAAGAAAGTGAATGGTAAAAGAATAATGAGAAGGCAAACAAAGAAAAAAAAAACAAATGGCAAGAGAGATAAATTATAAGAAAAAGAGACAAACAAACAATGGAGGAAGCGAATGACAAGGAAGAAAGAAAAACAGCAAGAGAATAGTGAAGAAGGTTAACAAGAAAAAATAAAACAAGGAAGACAAGACAAACAACAAGAAAAAAAGAAGCAAGGAAGACAAGATAAATGGTAAAACGAATGGTAATAAAATAGTAAGGAGACAAACAAAAAAAAAAAAAACCAATGGAAAAAAAGCGAACAAACAACAGGAAAAATAAATGGCAAGGAAGGAAGAAAAACCACAAGAAAATGGTAATAAAGACCAACAAGGAAAGAAAAAGCAGGAAGACAAAATAAATGACAAGAAAAGCGAATAGTGAAGAAAGAAGGCAAAAAAAAAAGAAAACGAATAACAAGAAAAGCAAATAGCAAGAAAGAAAGGCAAATGGCAAAATAATAATAAGGAGATGAACAAAGAAAAAAGAAAAAACAGACGAATAACAGGATATAAGTAAGAAAGATAAATGGCATGAGAATAGTAAGGAAGGTGAATGGCATGAAAATAGTAAGGAAGGTGAATGGAGAAGGTAAAATAGGAATGTATAAGGAGGGAAAAATGAATGGTAAATTTAAAAGTAAAAGAAACAAACGAAGAAATTAAAGAAAAATAAACAAATGTAGGAATAGACAAATGAATAAATAAAAATTAAATAAATAAAGAATAGTGAAATGGGCAAATAAATAAAGGTAATAAATAATGGGTAAGAATAGGGAAATAGATAGTAAGTGTAGTGGGAAAAGAAAATTAACAAATAAAAAAATATGTATAACAACATATGTAATAAATAATAAAATATAACTTATCAAAGATGAAAATGCCGATAATGTTTTTTAAAAGTCATAATTATCCCAGCATCTATAGTTGAATTCTTGAGATGGTATTAGAAGAAAGAAAATAAACATCAACATAATCGAGTTTTATACCTTCGATCTTGTGACTTGAACAATTATCAAGTAATAAAAGCACATGTTGACCTTTGTGTTTTTGTATTATTTGATAATTAAACTCTTGAAGCCACTCTTGAAAATTAATGGCAAGCATTTATGCTTTAGAATTGCTTTGATATTTAATTGATAAGTTTTTGAATATTTATATTTTTAAAGCAGCAGGAATTGGCAAATTTTGTGATAATAAAAGAATTCAATTTGTATGATTCATCAGTATTTGCACACAATGCAATAGATAAGTGTTTCTTATTTTTTTTGTCCTGCAAGACATTGAGATACTAATGTTTGATCTGGTTCCAATCTATACATGTGGTGTAAATTATTTTGCTGTTGACTCAATTCCCAAAATCCTCAAAAATAATTGTGTCATGGCTCAATTATTTATATGTTTTAATAGTGACTCAATTAATTGTGTCAAATAATTGCATCAATTGCGTCATGGCTCAATTATTTATATGTTTTAATAGTGACTCAATTAATTGCATCAAGGATCTATAAATTTCAGCAATATGTATATTCCAATCTGTAATAATAGCATTAAATAAATAAATAAACTATAAAAAAAAATACATGCATATATTTACCTATAAAAAAGACCAGTTTCATCCATATTATAAATTCTATTGAGAGAATAATTACTACATTTGTTTTATAACAATGGTAAAGTTTCTATTATGATATTTTGATCAACAGATGCAGCTTCTCCATAAAGTTTTTGTTGATAAATTTCATTGCACTTCTTGAATTTATGTAACCATCTATTAGAAAACTTTAATGTTTTTTTAGAAATATCTAATTTATTTGCTAATAACTTTGCTTTTTCAATAATTAAAGCATTACTTAAAATTATTTTATCTTAATAAACCAATATAAATTCTTTAAGAGCAAGTTCAAGTTTTGAAATAGTAACTGATCTATGTCTTTTTGCTTATAAATTTATAAGTTCAATAGAAAGTCTTTTGTCTTTTGTTTGAAGAAGTCTAGTAATTGTTGATTCATTAACTTCAACTTTCCATTTTTGTTTAATCCATTTTACATATTATGATCTAGTTTTTTCATTATTATAAGCATAAAGTCAAAATTTATATTTTTGATAATCTGACAAAGATATTTTAGACATGTTAATTATAATAATCAATATTGTGTACATATTAAATTTTTTTTTAATATAATATTACATAATAATTATATGATATATATTTATAGAGAAAATTTTAGTATAATAAATTTAAAATTTTTTTGCACATGCAAAAATTAGAGGTATGCATTTAATAATATTGTCCAACTTGGGACTAAGCTTAATAGTGCATTTAAAGAGGGTGTGCATTTAGAGAGAGTTCTCTATATATGGTTTTGATATCATTAATATATATGTATATAATTAATAAAATAATACAAATTATAGTATGAATTTTTTTTCTAATTTTGAAGTTGATAAAATATAGATTGTTTTTTTTATATTTGTTTTGAAAGTTTTTTTTGATTTTAATAAATTTTTTTTGATAGGCTGGTATAAGATATTCTTTTTAAATTAAAAAGCTAAAAAATATATAATTTTTGAAACTGTTTTTGTTTATTATTGCTTTTAAGTGATAAGATAAATTTTTGAGAAGTTTTGTAATAGTATAAATAGTTTGAATAATAACTTGTATATTATTTGATACTTAGAAAAGATTATTTACTAGTTTTTCAATATTAGTTCTAAGTATTTTATATTGTTTGATATTTTTTATTTTTTTGAGTTTTGTTTAAACTTGTTGTTCAAATGAGGATAACCAAGCTTATAGTATAATTTTATATTGGATGAGAGTTTTGGCTAGTTCATCAAAATTAGCAATATTATTAATTATTATTAAGTTTGATTGATTTGTAGAAAGAATCTTATTAATTTCCATGTTAAAATTAAATGTTATTATGTGATTATCAAAAGAAAAAGTTAAAATAATATTTGTTTAGTTGGTTTGTTTAGATTTGACAAGATTCTGATCAAATAGTTTTATTAGTATATCAGCTATTATACTGGTTTCTGTAGAATTACCAATTTAATTAAGAGTTGAGGTAATAAATAGAAGTTTGCATATATATATATTCTAGTTGTTTAATCAATATTCTTTTTTTGAGAAACAGGAGAAGTAATAAGTAAAAGATTATTTTTAGAGATAAGCTAGATAGAGTTTTTTACTATTCTATAGAAAATAAAAAAAAAATTTTAAAAGTATTTGTAAAATTCAATATTTAGTTGGATTTTTTCTATTTTTCTACAATGTTACAAATATACTGAAAATTGAAAAAAATAATTTTTATATAGAGACCTACCATAAATTTAAGGACAAAATATACAATATATAAAAGTTTTTTATTTTTTTTAAAAACATAATTAAATTTTTGTCAAAATAACATGTGATCTGTATAAACATTACATAATATTTAAAATAGCTATATAAATAACACGAATTTTTAGAATTGATGAAAACTATGGATCATACTTTTTGTCTCAAACCAATCAGTGAGTCACACTTTTTCGTTCTAAACCAATCAACAATGGATATAAATAAGGAGCTAACAGCTGACCAAAGAGGTACCATTATTTATGGTTACCTTAAAAAGGATTCGTATTGTCATATTGCCGATCTTATAAATTGTAGAAAAACCACTGTAGATAACGTTATTAAAAAGTTTCATGAAACGGGATCTGTGGATTCGCAGATAAAATGTTCTGGGTGTCTGAAATTACTTACCTCTACTGATCGGTCTAACCTCAAGAAACTTGTAACTAATGGAAATCGTCATCTAAACTTTACTCAAGTCACTAATATTTTTACTATTAAAAAAAAATCTATGTTTCAAGGAGCATTATTTGTCATGCATTACACGAAGAAGACTTAAAGTCTTGCGTTGCATGCTCCAAGCCATTAATCACCTCAAAAATATAGAAAAAAGACTTGCCTGATGTCATACTTATGAGCACTGGACGTTCAATACTTCCAGCGCGGTTTGTGGTCCAATGAGTGTACCTTTCGTCTTTTCCAAAAGTCAACTTGTCAAGTATGACATGAATCACATGAGGAATGAGATCTTGAATGTCTAAGAAGTACCATTAGTAATAGTCCTGGTTGTATGTATTGGGGTTGTTTTTTGTGATATGGATTTGGACCCCTTATTCCATTAAGCTCTTCTGTTACTGGCGCTTCATACGTTAAAATTCTTTGTAAGTATACTTTACTCACTATAAACAAATTTCTGGAAAACACAGATTGTAGTCATCTGTTATTTCAACAGGACAATGTGAAACCATACACTGCCAAGATTACTAAGCAATTTTTTGAAGACAATAAT